TGACTGCGACACTGCAGTCACGGTCACCCGGTCCGACTGGAATGCCGCCGTCCGATGCCCCAGCGGCGGGCCATCCGAGCCCGGGCCGGGCCGGGGCACACTGAAGTGGGGCGGGCCCCTGCCCGGCCCGGCCCGCCGCCTTCGGTAAAAAGTTAAGTGAAAAATCTGGGTATGATCTACGCCTACGTCTCTTTTTTTCTTTTTCCTACATACAAGTTGGCGATTGTAAGTTCAAAATCTAGAGCTAAAAATGAAATTTACACCTCAAATTCTCATAATTATTCGATAAGGATTCATATAAAATTGCCAACTCTGGCTTGGAAATTTCTCCCAAGGTGCCTTGTTAATTGGGTGGGTTAGCGATTGGAATGGGGGGTACGAATAGGCGGAGTCAAGAGGATTAGCTTCTGAAAGCCTTTCCTGCTAGACTAGTGCATTATCTACTGAAGAATAAGGCTGATTTCGCTAAGGAATGACATTGGAGTCTTTGAAAGGACTTTATAATGAAAATGGGGGGGTGAATGTCTGGTACATGGGGTAGTGTGGAGCAAACCGTGTTTTCTATGAGGGGTGGGTGGAGGGTGGGTAGGGGGAATCCTCTTTCAGTCGCCGCGATGGCATGTGGAGAAATGGGGAGGGAAGGAGGGAAAAGATGCAGAAAAGAGAAGAGAGCAGTAAGACGAACATGCTGATGAAGATGAAGATGATCATAGATATTGATGATATCGCTTCCGAGCGAGAAGATCTGTTATTAACGACATATTCCACGGGATTGGGCGATATGTCCTTGTCAGGGAGATGGTAGCGACACCCCGCTGCTTTGCAGGGAAGAATGGAGGGAAAGATGCGGTAATTGCCATCAATCATATCATCAAAATGTCATGAGCATGCTGACATGTGAGCGTGCAAGAGAGAAGCAGCGCACTAGCAGAAGCATCTATCGGGGAATGGGGTCACGAAGTTACCTTTCATGAAGGATGGCGAGCCGTGTCTAGCGTGGGAGGAGCTGAGGATTTAAGACGCACGTTGAATGCTAGAGGAGAAGAGTCCGACTCCAGCCGATACCTGTGTACTCGACCCGAGCATGATATGAACCATGATGACTTTCGCACACCGATGCCTTTTCGACAAGTGAGATAGAACGGTGGAAGATAGACGTCAGTTTCGTTGGTCGTTGACGAACGATCCCTTTGATTCATGTGTGTGTTTCTTGGGTGTGTCATCTGCTCTCATGCTCATAACGAAGATGGACGTAGTGACCCTTGTAATGTGACTGAGATTGTTTACTCGACCTCGCGTGCTGCTCGACTGCCTGTGTTTTTGTAAATTAGTGTAGCACCTCCTTGTATGGCGGAGGATTATTGAGTTACCAAGAGGATTTGCTTCAGTGCTGCAATGGTGTTTAGAATTTACTGGACCATCACTGTGTGTTTGTCACCTTGTGACGACTTCCATAGCCTTATTTGGTAGGGAAATGCTCAATTATTGCATGGACTGATCTGAATTATCTCCTTGTACGAATATATTGGAGAGGTCATTGTGCAGAGGTAGTCTCCCACCGAAACCACAGAATGACTAGCATTTATCATGAGCAACAGCAGTGAAACAGTTGGAAATTTGTACTCGGTAGTTCAAGGATTCGTGCCTTTGCTGAGATTCTCGAACTTCATCTAATGCCTTGGGTGTTTCAGTCCTTGTGTCTCTGCCTTTCAATTCAAGATGGACACAAACAAGGCTATCACCCAGGTCAGGCTCTAGTCCTAACTGAGTTCACTGGAGGTTGACTTGGTAGCAGATGGTTTCTTTCATCAAGCAAGAGGCCCAGGAGAAGGCCCAGGAGATCAACATCAAAGCTGGTCAGCCCCTGCCCTGTGCGGTCTACAAGGCTCTGACTGGAAGTGATGGCAGAGGAGGAATTTAACATCGAGAAACTCCGCCTTGTGGAAGAGCAGAAGGAAATTTGCCCAGGGTTTAGAGTTCATAGTTGTCTGTGACCCGCCTCTGCAGGTCAAGGTCAAGGCTGAGTTCGACAGGAAGTTGAAGCAAGTGGAAATTCAGAAACGAATTGCCTTCTCTAACGAGGTGCCTCCTCGTTCGCCCACTTGCGTCTCCCTCTCTTACGTGCATGCAGGTGAATGCCTCTCGCCTCCGTGTTCTTACCTCGAGAGACGAAGTCGTCAATCAAGTCAAGACAGTAGTTATGAACGAACTGAACAAGCTGGGGGATGCGTCTGCGCCTGGGTCAAGAGCTCCGCCATCGAGAGCTTGAGAAGCTCTGACCTTGAACTGCAGGTACAAGGAGATGTGCCAGAAGTTGGTGCTGCAGGGCCTCTACCAGTTGATGGAGCCTGCTGTGAGTCAACCTCTGCTAGCGATCTCCCCTCGAGCTCATCCTCCTTGCTAGGTGGTCGTGAGGTGTAGGAAGTCCGATCAGGGTGTCGTGCAAGGCGTTCTCAAGGACGCTGCCAACCAGGTGCACCTGCCTGCGCTCCATAGCGCCACACATGCTGAAGCTCATGGGACCTTCAGTTCACCAACGCGACCGGGAACAAGTGTGACGTCACCTTGGACAAGGACTTCCTGCCCGACAAGAACGACCCCACCGCCCCGTGAGAGCCCCCGCGGCACTTTGTCGGAGGGGTCATGGATCTGTTGACCGGCATGTGCAGTTGTGCGGGAGGTGTGAAGCTGTACACGCCTGATCACATGATCTGCTGCGACAACACTCTCAACGCGAGACTCGACGTTGTTCTCTCTCAGGTTCGCCTTGCCCCTCTTGCTGGCTCTGTTGTGATGATTCTTGCTTCACAGAAACTGCCGGATGTTAAGATTGCTCTCTTCGGCAGATCTGCATCGCGTGTGCACATTGATGTTGAGATGTAATGAGCGATGTCAAACTCTGCCGGACGGCAAAAGTTTTTTCAATGTGATGGAAAAACAAAAAAGAAATCCAATCTTGTCGTCTTCTGTCACTCAATCCAACAAAGAAAATACTTCATTCCAGATCCCAACTCAGCAAATATTCTGGAAACCGATTCAACAGGAGCAGCCGGAAGGTTTAGCTATCATCCTCGTCAGAGTCATCATCTTCAGAGTCATCTTCAGACGAATCCTTACGCTGCATTGCATCGATGTTAGCAAACTAGGATGTGGTTTGATTTTAGTACCTTCGACTTTCCGTGTGATTGCTTCTTCTGATTTTTTCCATGTTTTGAATGCTTTTTGCTGGACTTCTTCATTTCCTGTCATAGGTCGTTACAAGATGAAGCTCTTGTTAGAGCCTGACCTCATCATCGTCCTCGTCCTCGTCCTCGTCCTCGTCCTCTTCCTCTTCTTCATGCTATCTGGATGTAAGCACGTGGAGATGTAGCCAGTATCGGATGACCTTCTTCTTGCCAGAGCCCTTGCGGCCACCTTTGTCTTCCTTGATCTCTTTGATTGTGGTCTTGCTTTTCCCCTTGCGCTTGGGAGCTTCAGAAGAATCCTTGATACGAAATTCAGACGGGTTCACAAATATCAAAAAGCAAAGCACCTCCTCTTCTTCATCTTCGTCTTCGTCCTCATCTTCATCCTCGTCTTCGTCTTCGTCTTCGTCTTCAGAGTCTTCAACCTGCTTTCGGCATTATACGCATTCTTCTTCAAACGAGTTCGAACCTCGTCGGATTCATCCTCCTCCTCTTCTTCTTCTTCTTCTTCTTCTTCCTCATCCTCATCCTCAGATTCTTCCTTGGCCTTCCTCTTTCCTCCGCGAAGGCGGTTCAGGAAGAAATGATTGGCCTTTTGGTAATATTCCACAGCAGAGGAAGCCAATCTCTCAGCATTTCGTCTCGCAGCGATTTCAGCAGCAGCAATGTACTGGGGCCATTGAGTTAGAGTCAGCAAAGAAAAGGCCATGCTGCTACCTGCTCCATACACGTGTCACAGTATTCTTGCTCCTTTTTACAGAGGTAACACCATTAGCGCAAATTTCAGGAAAGAAAATGGATTAGAGCACCAAGTCATCATCGCCGAGAGCAGACGTCGTCCTCAATTTGTGGGCAACCCTTGAGCCGGCACGATGGACTTGCAGTTGCTCCTCTAGAAAAACGATGAGGACAAGAAGAATCATCATCGCAACAAAGGAATCATGCAAGGGCTGCGAAACGTCTCCTCAACACAAACGATAAAAATGTGCGGTTTGAACCCAATATCATGTTCGTTCAAGTGGATGTTAGATCAAGACAACAAGATATCAACACAATGTCAGACTTCTTTTCTCCTACAGGACCATTTGCGCGCATCAATCATACGTCACAGCCGCGGCCGGCAGCGGACGCATCTAGATTCATGGCATGCCAATGAGGTACCTGGCTGGATGGGGGCCGGTCGAAGGCGGAGACCCGAGGAGAGAGCCGGAGAGAGGGTGGAGGAGGGATTGGAGGAGGAGGAGTGGAGAGACGTGCATGTCGCAAGAAGCGCGAGCGAGGTGATGGCCAGAATAAGCGGCCCAGAGCGCATTGCTGAGGGGTCCTGCGCGTGACGAGTGTGTGGGGTGGGGTACTTAATGACGGGGTGGGTCGAGGATGAATATGGTTCTAGGGTACTCCTATGAGAGAAGAATCATGAAATCTCAATGGTGGGTGGTGCACTACCTGCGGAAATTAAGGGGTGGGGTAGTCTAGTCTGTGGTCGTTGTGGGGTGGTCTCACAGCGTTGGGACAGGTAAACCTCTGGATCCGCCGTAGAAAAAGAAGGACACAAGGGGGTGGGTATGTGGAATATACCCGTCCATAGACCTCTATAAGGACCTATTTTCTATGGTAGGGTAGTCAATCATCATGCATGGGACAGGTAGGGTGATGGAAGACTGCCAACCTCGTGAAGGTGGGTACTTTTCATAGAAAAGTCATGGTGGGGTGGTTATCGAGGAGTGTTTGAACTGTGGGTGTACGAGCGGAGGGGTGGGGTATGGAGGAGGGGGTGGTGATGTCTGAATTACACTGCAATCATCTATCAGAGGGGGTAGTCATGACTTCACGAACTCAGAAAGAGAGGGGGTAGGGTAGTAATGGGACGCATTGACTAGCAAGGGGTCATAGTCGAATAGCCGGGCGTTGGATGGTCCCGGTCCTTCACGGTCACGCTCTTGTCGGAGGCCCGCCTCGGGGCCCAGCCGGCCTGGCCCGGCCACCGGGCCCGGCCACCCGGGGCGGCCGGCACGCCGGGCTGCCAGGCAGCGGCCGGGCCTTGCAAGCTTGATTCAAAGTTATACCGTGACGATCCTCGGCAGGGCCCGCCCGGGGCAGCGCCGGCACTCTAGTATGATTTGTCACAGTGACCGAACTTTCGGCCGAACTTCTTGAGGGCCGCGGCCGCTGGTTGATCGGCCCGGGACTGAGCCTCCGAGTGTAGTACCACTGCGGTACGGTCCCGGAGTCACCGCAGCCGTGGGCCGGCCCGGCCCGTCGGATCGGACACGGTGGGACCGGTGAAGGGATTATCCGGCCGGGGCCGGGCCCCGGCGCCCTCAGTGACTGGGCGGCCAGTCAAGTTCGCTGGCAGCCGGGCCGGGCGGTCCGTTAGGCACAGACCCGGCGGACGGTGGACGACCGTACGGCCCGAGTCGGCGGCACACCGCCGGGCCCCGGCGGCCGCCCCGCAGAGTGTCTCAGTCTCAAGTTTTGCTGCGGTGTGGTACAATCCTGGCTGACTCTGTGAGCGGCCATTGGCCTGCCAGGCTGATGCCAGTGGGTTTTAGCCGGCGGCCTCAGATGATCGCCGAACTTCGGAAGTTGTGACGGTGTGATAACCGCTGATTCATGGGCGGCCCCCCCCGGCGACTCTCAGCGGGATCATCGGCCCATCATCTCAGTGCCACACTTAGTAGTAGTAGGCTGGCCCAGTGGCTCAAACTTACACTGGGCCCGACTCATCACTGTGGTCACTCAGCGTGACGGTGATCGGCCCGGCCCGACTCCGGACGCGGCCTTGAGTTAGTAGGCACCATCATGGCATGCTGACCGTGGCAGATCGGACCGTGAGGCTTGACCGCCGGGCCGGGGACTCGGGATGACTCAGCTTTCGGCTTGTGCTAACTTAACCGTCATGGTTCTAACAGTAACCGTCAGTAACTTATCATAGTAGTAACAGTCACCCCTGTACGGTCGGCCCTTGGCTTCTTCATGCAAGTGCTTCAAATGGGGGGTGGGGTACTAGTCTTCGCCGGGAGTCGAGGATCCGATCCGACACCTACCCTACCCTACTACCCCATTCTCCTCTCACACCCCATGGTGGGTCTCTAGGGCCCTCACGGACCTACTGCTGCTGCACTTGTGCCGGGAGGCTGCAGGGGAGGGCGGGAGGCCATGGAGATCTTTGAGATGAGCAGCGACGAGAAGAGAGGCTGAGACTTAGCTGAGGGAGAGGCTCTACAGGAGGAGGAGAGCCTTAAGCTGAGGGAGAGGCTCTACAGGAGGAGGAGAGCCTTAAGCTGAGGGAGAGGCTCTACAGGAGGAGGAGAGGCCTTAAGGCTGAGGGAGGAGGCTCTACAGGAGGAGGAGAGCCTTAAGCTGAGGGAGAGGCTCTACAGGAGGAGGAGAGCCTTAAGCTGAGGGAGAGGCTCTACAGGAGGAGGAGAGCCTTAAGCTGAGGGAGAGGCTCTACAGGAGGAGGAGAGCCTTAAGCTGAGGGAGAGGCTCTACAGGAGGAGGAGAGCCTTAAGCTGAGGGAGAGGCTCTACAGGAGGAGGAGAGCCTTAAGCTGAGGGAGAGGCTCTACAGGAGGAGGAGAGCCTTAAGCTGAGGGAGAGGCTCTACAGGAGGAGGAGAGCCTTAAGCTGAGGGAGAGGCTCTTTTTTTTCTACAGGAGGAGGAGAGCCTTAAGCTGAGGGAGAGGCTCTACAGGAGGAGGAGAGCCTTAAGCTGAGGGAGAGGCTCTACAGGAGGAGGAGAGCCTTAAGCTGAGGGAGAGGCTCTACAGGAGGAGGAGAGCCTTAAGCTGAGGGAGAGGCTCTACAGGAGGAGGAGAGCCTTAGTAAGCTGAGGGAGAGGCTCTACAGGAGGAGGAGAGCCTTAAGCTGAGGGAGAGGCTCTACAGGAGGAGGAGAGCCTGAGTAAGCTGAGGGAGAGGCTCTACAGGAGGAGGAGAGCCTTAGTAAGCTGAG